TATATATATTTATATGTAAATATATAGTGTGTGTGTGTGTTGTGTGTTTAAATTATCCCTTCCCCCCATTTTTAGCGCTTACCTTTTATGGAAGTCTTTCTTATGGAAGAGGTAGCGTATTATTTATACACTCTTCTTCACCTTGCTTTTTTCCCTTAGAACTCAACTATTGCCCACTGCTCTCCCTCAGCAGTGTACTTGGTCAATCTGCCTATTTCCTTTCACATTCTTTCTTATTTATTCATTTATCTATCTATCTATCTATATCTGTCTATATCTATCTAGCTAGCTAGCTATCTGTCTCTATCTGTCTGTCTAATTTATCTATCTAATCTATCTATATCCATCCATGCATACAAGAACTGGAGTATAGGCCAGAGGCGTGGGGAGGTGAGAGGATTCACCAGAGATAGAATGGAGGAGCATAACAGGCAGATGTGCTGTGAAATGCTGAGGGGAGCAGCGGGCAGGCAGGAGAGATCTGCTGCAACATGTGGGTCACCTCGCTGGCTGAGGATTGAACTCATGCTGCAGTAGCTTGCAGATAGCTTTACCCCTTTACTCCACTAGGGATAACCCCTCACATTATTTCTTACTGCTATTATCTATATGGACACTTACATCATTTTTGAGTATTTTCTCGTAAAAACAGTGATTCTGTAAATATTTTTTTAATTCTTGAATTATAACTACCAGGATAAATCCTGTAGGCAGCTAGCACACAGGTTATCTGAGAAGAAAATGAAGTTGGTTCTGGATTTATATAATACTGTATTTTGGAAGTGCTTGACATATAGTATCTATTTTGTTTAAAATTCATTCTTAGGTCCTCCCTGATGGCGCAAGGGGTTAAGTCTCAGCACTCTGAAGCTATCTGCAACCACTGTAGCACAAATTTGATCCCTAGCCAGGGAACTGACCCATATAGTGCAGCAGACCTCTCCTGTCTTGTCCACTGCTCCCTTCAGTCAGTCCACTTGCTCTGTTCCCCACTCTTTCTCTGGTGAATCTTCTTACATCCCACACCTCTGGCCTGTACCTTAGTCCCTGTATGCATAAATAAATAAACCTTTAAAAAACTCACTCTTGGCCCTCCCTGGTGGCGCAGCGGGTTAAAGCACTTTACAAGGAAGCTGAAACCACTTCCGCATGAGTTCGATCCCCACCTGCCCCGGAGGTGACCACATGGCCGGGCAGACCTCTCCTGACCCGCCCGCTGCTCCCCTCAGCAGTGTACTACGTCAATCTGCCTGTTCTGCTTCCCACTCATCTCTGGTGAAGTCTTTCGCCACCCCTGAATCTCTGGCTTGTACCCCATTTATGCTTGTATGCATAAATAAATAAATCTTAAAAAAAAAAACTCACTCTTACTTTCAAGTTTTGCGTGTACATTATGATGAACTATTTAATTGGTTCTCTTTATAATTACTCCATGTCCAAGTTTATGTTGTATTATTGCACTTTGTGGTTTTCCACCCTAATACAGCAAATAACTTCTTGCTTATATTTACCATTACCATAGGATTTAGTAGATGATATATTTTCTCATCTCTTTCGTAGTTGGGAGTATCAATTCCTAGAGATCTGGCTTTTCAACAACTAACAGCATACCAGGCATTACTAGTTGCTTAATATATTTGTTAATTGAAAGAAGGAACTTAAATAAATTATTGTGTTTATTTCCTTTTTTTCCAGTAAAGCACATACCTCTTTTATTCAATTTTTGTCTATTTTTTTTTCTCTCCAAATTCAGTCTGTGCTGAGGCCTATAACCCTGATGAGGAAGAGGAAGATACTGATCCAAGGGTAAGAACTGCTGCAAAGGTGTTAGGCAGAGTTATTTCACTTCCTGTTCACTCCCTCCTCTCTTCCTCTACACTCTAAATCTAATTGTACTGATAATGAAAGTAAATACAAATTAAAATCTTATAATTTTCAAGATTTTTTTTTAAAATCTAATAAATTGACAAATGTTAGGAATGAAAGCAGCATTGGTAGAGGGTTTGAAAAGGATGACTAATTGTAGTTGTCAGCGCAAACAGTCATAGCACCTGGCTCAGCAGTAACCTGAAGAAGAATTCATACCTAACAAGCAATTAGATCCTTCCTACTAAGGTTGTTAAATGAAATCATTGCAATATAATATCAGAAATTGGAAATAACCTAAATGGCGCTAAATAGGGAGTTGCCTGGGCCTAAATTATAGTACCTTCAAATCAATAAAGTTGATAGCCATAATGGTGGCACATGGCTGAGTTTAATGACAGAGAATGATGTTTATATGAGGCATATTTTATAGATTGTTTTATAAAATAAAAAGAAACTTAGTACTCTGTTAATTTGAACAAAGATGTATATCTGGAAGGATAGATTCTAGATGTTAATAGTGGTTGTAGCAGACTATGGTTGATATTTTTGGGTACATTTTTTAAAATTCAGGTTTCTTTAACTTTTGCAGTTAACAGATAACTTTTGTAAAAGCAAATATGAGCCATCATTTTGAAAAGATTGATGTTATAAAAGAAATTTTGAAGCTATCAAGTATGTCTTAAAATGAAATCTATGAAATGTTTTTGCTGTAATAAAATGCTACCATTGTGTGAACATAATAGGCATGCAGATGAGACAGATTTATTCTGAGTATTGTAAAATTCTTCATGACTTCTAAAAGTTAAAAGTTGGGCTTTCGTGGTGGTGCAAGAGGTTAAGTCTCAGCACTATCAAGCTGTTGGCAGCCACTGCAGCATGAGTTCAACCCCCGACCAGGGAGATGACCCATATGACACACCATACCCCTCCTGTCTTGCCCATGGCTCCCCTCAGTATATTTCGGGCAGTTGACCTGTTCTGCTTCCCACTCTGTCTCTGATGAATCCTCTTTCACACCCACATTCCCCTCATCCCCGGCCTACACCCCAGCTCTTGTATGCATAAATAATTAAAACAAATCTTTAAAGAAATTAATTTAAAAAGTTATCTTACTAACTTTAACATCACAAATTTTAAATACTTGACACTTTGACATCTGTTATTTCTGGCCAGATTAAATGATACACTTTTTTTTTTTAAGATAACGACAGTACTTAAAAAGAAACTTGATAGACTTCTAATTGTGACAGCAACACTAGGTGATAATTGTTTATTTTTAGTTCAAAAATTAGTACTGGGTATCATAATAGTATTTTTTAAAGATTTATTTATTTATGTCTGCAAGAGTTGGGGTGTAGACCAGAGGAATGGTATATGTGTGTGTGTGTGTGTGTGTGTGTATCTACCAAAGACAGTGAGAGAAGAGGTGGACTGACCAAAATACACTGCTGAGGGAAGCAGCGGACAAGACAGGCGAGATCTGCTGTAGTATGTGGGTCATTCTGTGGCCAGAGATTCAATCTGTGCTGCAGTCGCTGTGGATAGCATCATAGGGCTGAGACTTAACTTGTACCACCAGGGAGGTAATATAATAGTATTAATAGTAATCATTTTTGAGCATCATCTCAATGCCAGGTACAGTTTTAAATACAGTGGTATTAGCTCATTTAATCTTACGAAAATTCTGATTTTGTAGATACCATGACCACTGCTAAAAATAAGTTGTTGATGTTTGAATTCTGGCTTCCCTACCCAATGTTTACTTGCCATCTCCACATTCACTTCAATAGACAACTCAATTAACTGAAGTGGCTATGACCAGCACTGCATCCTAATCCTTTGCGCTACCAGGGAGGGCCAGCTCCATTCTTAGAGTAGCTTAGGCCCAAATCTTTAAAGCATATTCAGAATTCTACTACTTTTCAACACCTTCATGGCTTCCACACTGATCCAAACAGCTGCCATCTGAGATAATCACAGTAACTTTCTAAGCTTCCCTTTTGCTCATGTAAAGGATGTCCTTTACTAGCAGCCGCTATGAACCTTTAAAAACATTAGTCAGATATAGTCCCTCCCTCAGAACTCTCAAATTGCCTCAGTTTTACTAGAGAAAAGTCCCAGTTTTGTGATCGACACAAAGCTTTATCCTCTTTGTGTCTTCTGTCATTTGGGAATTATCCCTACCCATTCCCCCTATTGTGGTCTCTTTCTAATTGTTTCCCTTATTCTGTGTCAGTCACACTTGTTATATGGTTGTTTTTCAACATCCTTTTCACCTACCATAAGACTTTGTTTTCACTTACTACTCCTTATGCTTGAAAGTATTCTTCCCACAGATAGGTCCCTGATGTTGTCCTCACTTTTTGAGATCTTTACACAAATGTGACCTCAATGAGGCCTCATCTGGACATGCAACACACTTTGTATCACTCTTCATCACCTTATTTTTCTTCTTAGACTGACATATTTTATGTGTCTATTAAATGTGAGAGCAGATGTTTTTATACAGTTAATGCTGTGTTCCCAGAAGGAGCACAGTGCCTGACACCTTGTAGATGCCTAATATTTGTTAAATAACTTTCTGTTCTACAAATGAGCACCTTGAGGCTCATAGTGGGGAGCTGAGGAGCTGCCAGCCACACTCCCAGTGAACGGCTGCACAGTGGGTTCTCTTCGCCCCTTACATTGCCCCTCCTTTATCAGGGCACTGTCTGGTATTTTTGTACTATTAAAATTATAGTAAACAATACTCTTAGTTTTCTCTACATTTTAGGAGAAAGAAATATGTTGATTTATAAGTAGAAATGAGATTTTTTTTTCAGTGAAATTTTAAGATTTCCTTGTCTTATTTGAATTGACAGGTGATTCACCCTAAAACTGATCAACAGAGATGCAGACTTCAGGAAGCTTGCAAAGATATTCTGCTTTTCAAAAATCTGGATGAGGTAACATCTTTTTTCTTTTAATTTATCACTTACACAATTTTTAATATCTTAGCCACACCCATATGAGGCATAATACTTTAGATTCATCTTATATATGATTTCATTGGGTGGCTCCCCATAATGCATAATGGACTTTCCAGATGACTTTTACAATTTTATGAACAGCTGTGCTGCTTTCATCAGGACAATAACATCTGAAGGCCATATAGTCTGGTCATATTAAAAGGAAATGCTCAGGTTTGCATAACAGTGGCCTAATTTGGAGGGTCTGAATTATGCTGCAGAATGACTTCTCCAAGATATCAGAATGGTGTCCCCTTCTGCCGTAGCAGTTAACCCACTAGTAGTGGGTCTTCTCAGACTGTGGATGTGGTTACTTCTTGAGGGCTGAGTAAAGACACATAGAATGGTGTGTGTGTCCATTCACCTTCCATAGGATCTATCCCTGGGTCTCCCATCCCTGTCAGTAAAGATAAGAGTGGCGGGGCTATCTCCTAAGAACAGAGAATCTTCAAATTTCCTATTTCTTTTTTACTTTTAAGAACCGCACACTGAAGCCACATAAATGGTTGAGGTTCTGAACCTACTTAGGAATTCTAGAATGTGCAGAAACCGGAACAATGAAATTAAAATTCCCCTACTAACCAGTTACTGCAAATATGTCTTCTGCCAATATACCTTTCTTTCCCTAAGGATTTGATCATGAGATGTCCTTCAGGGGAATGAACTATCTCTGGTATCTATAAATCAGTCTATTTGGTAGCTGTGGTGATTGATTACCGGAAGGGCCAGAACTTTAATCAAAGTTTATTAATAAGACAAGGACCATAAACTGAATGAAAGGCTGTAAGAAATTCTAGTCTGAGTCAGCTCTTTTCCCTGAAAGATCCAGCTTTCTCAATGAAAAAGGGTCTTGTTTCTTTATTTAATATGAATAAAACCTTTCGTAAATTTAACACCATCAGATACTAAAGTAAAGTCAGTTCCAAAATTCAGTATTTTCTTAGTGTTGGAGAGTATCATTTTAGTGTTGAAAAATGATCACTGAATTTTGAAATTTTTCTAATATTTTATTATGAAAAGATTCAAACATGTTTTTTAAAAAAAGATTCAAACATGTAACAGTTAAAAGAATTTTATAACATCAATTGTTTATCCACTGTCTTGATTCTAACATTAGTATTTACATAATACATGTAACATTACATGCCCCATTGTAGACCGTCTTCATATCCCTTAGCAAAGGGCTCAGCAAACTTTTTCTAAAAAAACCCACATAATAAATCGTTCTGTCTTGTTTAACTCTGTTATTATAGCAGGAAAGCAGCTATAGGCAATACACAAATGAAATACAGTGTTCCAGTAAACATGACTTACAAAGACAGGCAGCTGTACTGCCTCCTGAAATAACCCATCTTATTTCGGGGGTTACATTTCTTAGTAAATTGAAGATATCAGTATACTTTCCCTCTAATACTTTCTCATGCATGTTATCAACTGGAGTTTATTATTTGTTTATATAACTTTTTTAATGTAAAATTTGCATACGATGAAAAGATAACTTGGTTTTATTTTTTTTAAAGATTTACTTGTGCATTCAAGAAGTGGGTACAGGCCAAAGGTGCAGGGGGTGATAGTATTCACCGAGATAGAATGGAGACCAGAACAGGCAGATTGACTAAAATATACTGCTGAGGGGAGCAGCAGGCAAGACAAGAGAAACCTGCTTCACCATGTGGGTCATCTTCCTGGCCAGGTATCCACCACAGTGGATATGGATAGCTTGATAGTGCTGAGACCTAACCCCTTGTGCCACCAGGGAGACCTAAAACATAAGTTTTAACTGCATTCACTAAGGCTTGACAAATGCATGTATAAGTAATCCAAACCTTTCTCAAGATACACAACATTGCAACTACCCCCAGAAAAAATGCCCTCATGACCCTTCATGATCAATTTTCCCTCTCTTCCTGAAGCAACTATTTATACTTACTCTACCATAAGTTTTGACTGTTCTCAGATTTCACATAAATAGAACCATATAATATATACTTTTTTATGTGAGACTTCTTTCACTTGACAGTGTTTTTAAGGATCCTCCACGTTCCATGTATCCGTAGTTCATGCATTTCTTTTTCACTTAATTTCGAATGAATTTTTAGAATCACAAAATAGTTGCAAAACTGGTACTGAATTCCCATATACCCCTCACACAATTTCCCCTGATAACATCTTCTATAACCAGTGATCAAAACCAGAAAATTAACATTATTATATTATTGCTTAAGCTACAAACCTTATTCAGATTTCACTAGTTTTATCATTAGTATTTTTTTCTGGTTTCAGATCCAATTCTAAGTCTTAGATCATATTTAGTTGATATTTCTCCTTAGTCTCCTCCAGTCTTTGACAGTTTCAGCATCTGAAAATTCCTAGTCTTTTATGATCTTAACACTTTGAAGAGTACTGCTTGACAATTTTAACTAGTTCAGTTTGGATTAATCTGATTTTCCTCATAATAGGAATAAGGTTACACATTTTTGGTTGGCTAGCACAGAAGTTACATTGTATCCTCAGGGGATAAATATCAAGGGTCTGTGATGTCAGTTCATTGTCTTATCACTGGTGATGTTAGTTCATCCCTTTTTATTTACTGAGTAGTATCCCACTACATGAAAATACCAGTTTGCTTTTCAGATTTTCTGTTGATGGATGTCTGTTTCTTGTTTTTAGCTGTTAGAAATAATTCAGTGACATTTTATACTAGTCTTTCTGTGAACATTTTACCCCATAATCTTTTGTAAAATACCTGAGGGCAAAATTGCTGAGTCATAACATAGGATAGACATGTACCAGATATCTTTTAAAGTGGTTATGCCATTTTTTTATTACTTACAACAATAAAGGATATTCTTACCCACACTTAATAGCATCTATCTTCTGCAATCTTAGCCATTCTGGTGAGTATATTTCCATTTCTAAAATTTTATTTCCTAAGTTTCTATTTTCAAATTTCCAAATTTTCAGAAAATTCTAAAGAATAGCAACATGAATACTCAAATACCCTGTAGCCAGGCTGAACAGTTGTCCACATTTTTCATGTTTACTTTTGTGTATCTGTGTATATGTTTAAATACAAATAAACTTTTTTTCTTGTTCTGAGCTATATATAAACGCTTAAGACATCATGACTCTTCAACCTCCCTGGTAGAATAAGAGGTTAAATCGCAGCACTATGAGGCTCTCCATAGCCACTGCAGCACAAGTTCAATCCCCTGTCAGAGAGCTGACCCACATGGTGCAGCAGACCTCTCCTGACCCACCTGCTGCCCCCCTCAGCAGTGTACTTCATCAGTAGGCCTGTTCTGCTCCCCACTCTGTCTCTGGTGAATCCTCTCACCATCCTTGCACCTCTGGCCTGTGCCCCAACTCTGTATGCATAAATAAACAAACAGTTAAAAAAAAAAAGATAAATTCATGCTACTTGTAGAAACATGGATGGAGCTTGAAGGGATCATGATCAGTGAAATAAGCCAGAAAGAAAGAAGAAAAATACTGTGATGTTTTCACTTATAGGAAGAATGTAAGGGATCCAAATAAGGGGTCAGGAGGGAAAAAAGTAATTATAATAAAGTAAAAATCAAAATCAACAGGCAACTATACACCAGAGACATTCTACAGTGGAGGAAGATGGAGTAAGATCAAAGCCCCGAGCTCTCATTCCACATAAATGACACATGAATAGCAAAATTTTTTTCTTAGTATCTGTCAGCTTGTATAGTATCTAACACTTGTGGAACTAAAGAAATGCTGTTTGGTATTATTTATTTTAGGTAGCACATTCAAACTGACAGAACATTATATCACCGGAATTATGCAACAATGAAATTATTTTCTTACGGTCTTCTACTCACTCTCTTCCGAAGAAAAAGTCTGAGTTGCAATTGGTCTTCTAACAGTCATTGATCTTCTGCCTAATGGAGAAATATGGACTCTAGACTAAGATCAGTGTTCTGTTAGAATTTAATAGCATTTAAAATTTTTTTCATTAGACTTAACCGTATAGTACAGTTATCTCCTGGTTATGGCAGGTAGTATTGGTTAGTGATTGTATGCTTTGTGTGTAAGTGACTGAAGCAATTTGCTGTCTGCTGCTAGCCTAATTTATTAAGCTTTTTATACATATGAAGAAATTGGGGCTCGAAGTTAAGTGATACACAAGTACGTAAGTAGATAAAAGCAGTTGCTATGTTGCCTTACAAGAGAACCTTTGAGGCTGTCCCCACGCTTTCAATATGATGATCCTGTTAAAATCACATGTAGGAAGGTAGCATCCTGTGATTTTTATCTATGACATAGAGGAGCCATCAAAGCAGGTGACAATCATAAGATTGTGATTGGGAGAATGGACACCATGATTTAGATAGCCCATTTTTACATAAATAAGGGGAAGGTTTTGTTTGTTTGTTTGTTTGTTTGTTTTTAAGATTTATTTATATATTTATTCATAGAACTGGGGTACAGACCAGAGATGCGGAGGGTGAGAGGATTCACCAGAGACAGAGTGGGGAGCAGAACAGGCAGATCGGCGAAGTACACTGCTGAGGGGAGCAGCGGGCGGGCCAGGAGAGGTCTGCTGCGCCATGTGGTCACCTCCGGGGCAGGCGGGAATCGAACTCATGCGGAAGTGGCTTCAGCTTCTCAGTGCTGTGCTTTAACCCGCTGCGCCACCAGGGAAGGCCCTTGTTTGTTTGTTTTTTAACAACACACTACCTCACCTCAAAAGACCTGGCAATTGTGCTGTGTTTATGGAGGGAAAAAGCTGAGTGGCCACAGGAAAACATTTATTTCAAACAGCCCTTAGGCTTCTACTTGAATATAGGACCAGTCTATTGTGAGTGAGGCTTTCTATATAGCCACAAACTGAGATAGTAATTTCCCCCCCAGCATATATAAAAGCCATCTTTTCTCCTTGTGTGTACCCTGCAGGAACAACTTTCTCAAGTCCTTGATGCCATGTTTGAAAGGACAGTCAAAGTTGATGAGCATGTCATTGACCAAGGAGATGATGGAGACAACTTTTATGTCATAGAAAGGTAGGAGATGAAACTTTGCAACTGTGTATCCACACTTAGTAAGATTCATGATTCAGGGCAAATGCCTTACCCTATGCTTTGTTCAAGTGAGTAAGCAAAGGGTCCAGGTAAACAAGTTTTTCAAAGCTTGCCTCTCTGTCTACAGCTGTCCTGAGACAGCTGTCCTCACTATATCTTATCTATACTTTATAGTTACATGAAATGTGCAAGATGTGCTTTATAAACATGTTATTTGCAAGTTTTCAAGTGAGTTGATTCCCTGACAATAGCCATATGGTATATTGTCATTAGATCTTTCAGCCCCAGCCTAATTTTACACATGAATGCTTTACTTCAATCTCTGTGCCCTTAGCCCCACCTTGATTTGTTCCAGACTTAAGTAATATTGGGAGACATGAAGTATGTGTTACCTTAGTGTGTCCTAATCTCTTGAGCTATTAGTATCCTATGGGAGACAGGGTGGGGGCAGGTAGTCTTTTGACTCCCCAGTCCTGAAAGGAACACCTTCACCAGACTTTAAAAGCAGTAAGATGTTGCTTCATCAGATATCATCTATTAACTACTTTTCAATTTCATTACAGAACGTTACATAAGTAGCACAAAAAATTCACATAACCTTAGGTTGACTATGGGGATAATCTGATGTGACTGGGGACTTCAAATATGTAGTCACAAATTGAGATAAACTTAATCATTTTTTTTTCCCCAGCAGATACAGGTTAATGTTTTGCCACATCTTCTTTACTGTTTAAGTTTTCAACGTTAAATCCTTTTGTCTCTGGATACTTCATGTGTACATCTGAAAAACAAAATATCCTCTCATATAAACAGAATAATTATAAAAACCAGAAATTAACATTTATACAGTACTATTATCTTACATTTCTTCCCCTGATTTTCTTTTTCCAATTTTTTTTCTCATTTTTATCCTGATTTTTGAGGTTCTGTTAATCTTCCTTTAGTAACAAACTGGATACAGTTGGTCCCTTTCTTGTCAAATCTTTGCTAGGTTTTTGAACAGAAAATATTCTTAGGCTCTGGGTAAATTTCAGGTCCTTGAAATTTGTGACAAATTACTATAATTAGAAGAAATATTTTATTTATTTAAAGAATCATATACAAATAATCTTAAAGACTGTTGATTACTTTTATGTTATGTTGATTCTTCCTACATAAATTTCAATAGTGATAGTGATTTAAATCATATCGTCACTTCCAGCAGCCACATTTCCCCTTTATTCTACCTTGCACTCTCCAGTCAAGCCAGGATCCCAGAATAGGCCTTTTGTTTGGGAAATGAGCATCCATCCTTGCATGTTCAGGTTGAATTCTGTATCTGCAAAGGGAATGACTTATTACAGGTGTAAGTGAGAAGGCTTATCTTCTGTGTGCAGTGGAAGTGGTAATTAAAGGGAAAGTTGCCATTCAAGTAAAAAGAAACAGCTCCTGTCCTCAGAAAAAAGTGTGTAGTTGGAAAGACGGACCCTTAAATAATTATTACATGATATTATAGTAACAACAATGCTAAGAATATGTCTTGTCGCTTGAAAGAGGACTGGATTGAGAAATTTGGACAAGACTTTGCCGCTACCTGGAGTGATTTGTGTTATTCCCAAAATTAGGTAGCTAGTGTTTCCTGGATCAGAGACTGAAAATGTGTACATTTACTGTTTCCCATTCATGACCTTTTTATTAACCTTATCACTAGGCCTAGTACAAGTCAACTTCCCTATTGAGTAGTGATGAGAGCAGGATTGGTGTTAGTTTTTGCTCTTTGTGTCATGATTTTATCAGACAATTGGAGGCTATTTGCAGGAAATTTCTAAAATAAAAATGAAAACAAGATATAAAGTAACTTAGCCATAAATTCATTACCAGAATGTAACATTCCATTTTTTATATTGTGTTTTAATGAAGTCAAAAACATCACCCTAAATTTGGTTCATATCTCAAGACTGATGATACCATATATACACTGAAAAAATGTGAAAGGATTTATTACTCATATAAGACTTGTTAGTAAAAGCAGGGTACGCTTCCAAAGAGGATCATAAATGAGACAGCAGGAAGAAGTTGACTCTCTTGGGTTGTTAGTGGCTAGAAATTGGGACTGAGATAGAGTGTTATTGAGCATGGGCGATGCTTATATTACTTGAATTTCATATTGGCACCAAAGTAGGGACCACCAGGCTTTCTTACCAGCTTTTCTAGATGTGAGGTAGAAAAAGGAGGAGGATTGGAATTATAAAGCTTGAAAGTTATTAACATTCAAACATTAAAAATAAAGTCAACTGTTATCTTTACGTACATGTACTTTTTCTGTTAAATCATTCATTATTGTGTAAAGTTTTTGAAATCTATTTTAGATTATTTGCCATGGGATACAATATTATTACATATGATTATTCACTGTCTAATAGTCATACTGACATATTTGACCCATCCCCATTGTAATTTTTGCAGTTACAAATATTATCTGTGCATACCCCTGCATTTAAATCCTTTTCAGTACCTTTACTATCACCTTTAGAAGGCCACAAAATGGAATTGCTGTGACAGTGGCTCTCTTTATAGCATTTGTTACATATTGTTAATTATTTTGTAGATAATTATCACACAGAAACTTAGAAAAGTTTGGGTTTGCCTCAGTGGTATTTTTAGAGTGTCTTTTTCCTAATGCTTGTTGTGGACATTATTCTTTAGCAGTCATTACCAATAAGTAGACAGAAAATCATGTCCAGTTGTACATACTTATTTTCAATAGACTACAAAAAAAACAAAAAAAACAAAACCCATACAATCATTTCAAAACTTTCAGGAATAACATTTGACAGAATTCAACACCTTTTCATGATAAAAACACTCAGTAAACTAAGACTAGAAAGAACTTTTCTCCAACCTGAAAAGCACAGCTAACATTTAATGGTGAAAGATTGGGTTTTTCCCCTTAAGATCGAGAATACGACAAAGGTTTATGTATGCTCTTACCACTTCTACTTATGTGAGAGGTCCTAGTTAATGCAATGTGACAAAGAACAAAAGCGAAAGAGGAGGAAGGGCATATAGTTTCTAAAGGAAAAACTATAAAAAGGTTGCAGGTGACATACATGATCCTCCAGAAAATACCAAGAGTGCTATAAAACTAAAAACTAGTAAGTGAGTTTAGCAATATCACAGAATACAAAATCAAAATAAGAAAACCTATTTTATTTCTATGTACTAGCAAAAATCTACTGCAGAATCTTCTGTAGCAATATTTTATCTTAGGTATCTTCTATTTATGTGCCACCTGCCAGTTATAGATTTATCACTAAACCTAATTAAATGTAATAAATGGAATTGTTTCTTATTATGTTTCCAGGGGAACCTATGACATTTTAGTAACAAAAGATAATCAAACCCGCTCTGTTGGTCAGTATGACAACCATGGCAGTTTCGGAGAACTTGCTCTGATGTACAACACCCCGAGAGCTGCTACCATTGTTGCCACTTCAGAAGGCTCCCTTTGGGGATTGGTGAGTTAGTGAAGTGGTTCTTTTAGCATGGCACAGTATCCCCTTATCTGTATTTCCATACTTGTGCTGTTAATTCACACTGTATTATAACCAGTTTATAATGGCATTGTGGAAGGTCCTGTACCAATGTGTTTTTCTATTTCTCTAAAATTATTTGCCAAAGTATTTATAACAAATTATAGGGAAAAGGTTGGGTCTTAGGACCTTGTAGCTATCACATTTTCTGTTTCTGAAAAAGGGGAGATAACTCTGTATACAAGAGGCAATCTTGAAATGAATGTCACTGAAAGCTCTGCCATAGTGTCTTCCATCTCTAGAGGTCCCATGACTTAACTCTGCTCTGTGTTCAACTGTCCACTTGTTCATTAATCCCTGCCAATATTCAGTAGATGGAGATGACTAGAAAGCTAGTCATCTAGGAATAGAACTTTCCTAGAATACCTTAGGCACAGTACTACTGTGATCCCTATTCTGTGTTACACTTGACGCACTTCTTTTAGCATCAATACTTCAAAAATACATACCTCTTTTCCTTTTTATACAAAGTAATCATTCTGTGGTACAGATTTCAGATTTCACTATATTGGTATCCAGAGTAATTTGTTACCATAAACCATACAAGCAGAATCAAATATATGTCATAGATTATCTTCCTATTTCCTCAAATGAAATCACATTTTAAAGACCATAATAAAGGATTCTATTGTGACATGATGATATAGAATTAAGATTGTGGACCTCCGTGTGGCTCAAGGAGTTAAATCTCAGCACTATGAAACGATCCACAGCCACTGCAGCAGAGTTTGACCCCAGGCCAGGGACCCACATGGCGTGGCAGACCTCTCCTGTCTTGCCCACTGCTTCTTCCTTCAGCAGTGTGTTTTAGTCACTTGCCTCTTGTGCACCACACTCTGTCTCTGGTAAATCCTCTAACCCCCCGCACCTCTGGCCTACACACCAGGTCTTGTATGCCTAAGTAAATAAAATAAATCTTAAAAAACAAAAGAATTAATATTGCTCCTTGGCTGAGTAGAAGGGGTCGCTTGGGTGCCGGTGGGTAAAAACTAGGCCTTGGGTGTTTGTTGCACACAGTGTGATATTTACAGATGTTAAGGTGCAAAGCTGTATGTGTGGAAGACACACATGTCTTGCACAGCATTTGAATTCTGGGAATATACAGAGAAAGGGTTGAAACACAAATAAGTCATTTTAAGTGATATAAATTGTTTTGATTTCAGCTGGAAATAGTTTGCTTTTATTAATCTCTGTAGCATTACTGATATATTTTTGAAATATTGGGCTTTTTTTTTTTAATAATGCCTATTCAAATGTAAAAAAAGGAACTTTAGGCCCTCCCTGGTGGCGCAGTGGGTTAAAGCACTGCACTGAGAAATTAAAGCCACTTCCGCATGAGTTCGATCCCCACCTGCCCGGGAGGTGACCACATGGCATGGCAGACCTCTGCTGACCCGCCCGCTGCTCCCCTCAGCAGTGTAGTTCATCGATCTGCCTGTTCTGCTCCCTGCTCTGTCTCTGGTGAATCCTCTCACCCTCCGCATCTCTGGCCTGTACCCCAGCTCTGTACAAATAAATAAATAAATCTTTAAAAAAAAAAAAAAAAAGGAACTTTATAATTCCCCCTTTTTTTTCTGTCTTGTTTGTCCTCTTTCCACAGCAGTTTTGACCTAGATTGCCTAGAAAGCATGTATAATAGAAAATTAATTCTAAAGATTGTGGATTAATACTCTAAAGTGTAACAGTTACATTTAGAATAATACATCCATACCCTTGTGATGTACCCGTGGGATGTCACTCCTTCAAACAAGGACAAGTGATACAACCCACTAGAGCAATCAGAAATTCAGTGGCTCCTCTCAAGCAGGCAGATGGAGAAGGAAACGGAGCAGAATCTAGCACACAGACACTATTTGCACAGCAGTTTAGGGTTGGTTCTGCCATTGCTCACACTGGGAGTAAAACGTACAGTAAGCAACTTGGCTTATAAGGAAGATGACATGGCATGGGGTAGGGCCTGGAAATTCTTCAACTAATGAAATGTGGGCTGGTGAAACCCATTTAGGTGTTTCAACTGAGCTGTCCTCCTTTTTTTTTTTTTAGATTTATTTTATTCACTTAGGCATAAAAGAGTTGGGATATTAGCCAGAAGTGCAGGGCATGAGAGGATTCACCAGAGACAGAGTAAGGAGCAGAACAGGCAGATCTACTGAAATACACTGCTGAGGGGAGCAGCAGGAAAGACAGAGGAGATCTGCCATGCCATGTGGGCCAGCTCCCTGGCCGGGAATTGAAACCGTGCTGCAGTGGCTACTGATAGCTTGAAAGCACTAAGACTTTTTTTTTTTTTTTTTTTTTAAAAGTTTTTTTTTACATCATTTTGCACATTTTTTTTTTCCATCTCGATTGTAATCCCCGCGGGTTTCCCATCACCAGATCACCCCTGGAAAGCACTAAGACTTTTAACTGCTGTGCCACTAGGGAGGCCCATCCTGTTTTTTCTATCCCACTCCTACCCCATCATCAAAAATATTAAAATAGTAAACCCACAGCTAGGTATGCACATATTCCCTTGCTGTTTTTCATTTTACCAGCCACTAGGATGTTATTACTATACTTTCTCCCTCAAAATCCATTCTTCAAAGTCTCGGGTGTAAGAAAGGTATAGTTAATTTAGGTGTTCATTTCAGAGCCTGAAACTAAGCAGTTAATAACATTCTGCTGTCTGTGTCCCTTCCCACGCAGGCATACACATGTTTGAGAAGTTCCAAGTGTTAGCTCTTGGTAATAGTTGCCCAGCTGAATCTGTGACTTGCTGAGGTCAAAGTATCTTCCACAGATCTGCCTTCCATCACATTTAAGTTTTTTTTTTTTTTAAAGATTTATTTATTTATTTGTACAGAACTGGGGTATAGGCCAGAGATGCGGAGGGTGAGAGAATTCACCAGAGACAGAGTGGGGAGCAGAACAGGCAGATCGACGAAGTACACTGCTGAGGGGAGCAGCGGGCGGGCCAGGAGAGGTCTGCCACGCCATGTGGTCGCCTCCGGGGCAGGCGGGAATCGAACTCATGCGGAAGTGGCTTTAGCTTCTTAGTGCAGTGTTTTAACCCGCTGCGCCACCAGGGAGGGCCCACATTTAAGTTTTATCCCTCTTTCATGTCCCAGACAGAATTGTATTTTTGCAACAAAGATAACCTGATGTTCCAACCTAGTGTGATCTCTCCCCTTCCTCAGAATTCTCCTGGCACTTAGTTTGCCTAGCACATTTCATTTGCTGCCTTGAACTAGAGATTTTTTATTCCTTTATATTTTGTGTTCACTTCCCATTGATATTGTAAGGTCCCTTTTTGGAAGGTGCATCCTGTCACATTGGAAGTTTTTTATTTTGTGTTCTAATTATGACCCATAGGTGGCACCCTTTGAGTATGTGATAGCAAGCAACATCTTTCAGGCTGCTGGTCTTTTTCTTCCAATGATGACTCAAATTGAAACATCCTTACCTACTTAGTTGACCCAGTACATTACATAGTCCCCTAATGTTTACTGCCATCCAGTAACTAAACCATAAACGTTCTCTATGGCATTTACCAGAATTTTCTTATTTGTTCTTATAGGACCGGGTGACTTTTAGAAGAATCATAGTGAAAAACAATGCAAAAAAGAGGAAGATGTTTGAATCTTTTATTGAATCTGTGCCCCTCCTTAAATCACTGGAGGTAAAGTCTATTTGAAAAAAAGTCTGGAAATTCAGTTATACGTATTCTATTTTTTAGGTTTTAAGATTGTACTATTCTAACCCATTTCTGTGTTTTATAGATGTTACCTGTGACTTTTAATTAAGGTCTTTTCCTTATAACTTGTAGTTATGTTCATTATTTCAGGTTTCAGAACGGATGAAGATTGTTGATGTCATAGGAGAAAAGATCTATAAAGATGGAGAGCGCATAATAACTCAGGTGAGTGGGGGACTTGACTGCCCCTTTCCAGGAAGCCACTTCAGGAAAGAGTGGTGCAGCATCTCTCTTTTCATTTTTGGGAGTATATTACAAGGCACTTGGCATCGTTCATGTTCATCTCATTGACACATGCTGGTCTGTTGCTTCCATCGCCTTTCCTCGTCTTCTGGTGCTTGTTCTTTTGAATATTATTTTCCTTTGAGCTATAAAAGTTTCATCTGTTGCTGTTAAAACCTGGGGAAAATCGAAAGGTTGTCCTTTTACTTTCTGTTTGGTACAAAGGAGCCCACAGCTTATTCACTAACCAGAGCCTGGTTCTTAATGATTGGCCAAATTTCAGGGTGTCTTTAATATTTGCTTTGTACTTTCGTCTTTTGTTACTTTTGGGTACTGTAAGGATGGGCACACAGCAAGCAGACTAGGTCATTGAGGACTGTGTAGTAATTTTCTTTGTCTCCTGTGTTGTGTTTTATATGTAGAGAATATTAAGGACTTTACTAGGTATCAGGTGCTCTGCCTACAGTTCTGGCAAAAGCACTAGGAAGATACCTGTTTGGTTTGGATTGGTTATGTCCCTGGCCCAACCAGCACCAAAGGGACTAGTTAGACATAGAGAAGCTCCCAGAGAAAAAGGACTAACAAACAAAAACATGGCTATATTAAGTGGCATCCTAAATTGCCTTTGTTTTCTAGATATTCACATTAATCATAATTATGTTAATCAGTGATACAGAATGTATACAGAAAGTAAGATATGTCCATCTTATTATCAATATTTATAGTCCCCTTTTTGCAGCATCTTTAGATCAAAGTTTCTCTGTGGTCCCAAGAACAGCAGCATCTAGGAATATTAGAAATTGTTAGAAATGTAAGTTCTTGGGCTCCCTGCAAGAATCAGAAGCTTTGCTTTATGCTGTTTTGTTTGTTTAGGTCAGCTTTGATATGGTATATTTCATATACAATAAAATTACTAAGTTTTTGTGTTGGGGGTTTTATAGTTACTCCTGCAATCATAGTATATCTAGCATTTCCATCAGTTCAAGAGATTCCCTCATCAAAAAAAAAAAAAAAGTTCCTAGGGTCTTCCTGGGTGTACTAGGGGTTAAGATGAAGCTATCCACAGCCACTGTGGCACAAATATAATCCCCAGCCAGGAAAGTGATCCACATGGGCACAGCAAACCTCTGTCATAGATTTCAGTGACTGACCAAATTGGGCAGTAAGAAATAGCAATGTTCTATATAGTTGGCATCCTGAGCATGTTCATGTAGAGAAATGTGAATATTTCCTATTGAAAAGTGACAGATGTGTGTCAGTCATAGTTGGGCTGGCATCCTTGGTGATCAGCAGCCTCTCATTTTGCTCGTTTGTTAGCCATTGAATAATTTGTGGAGTTGGAAAATTAATATAAATCAGAGCTCAGACAAGAAACTGATCTATTTCTATGTCCCTCTTCAATTAATATATATGGATCTGACCTGATTTCAACTCTTTTTCAGGGTGACAAGGCTGACAGCTTTTACATTATAGAGTCCGGTGAAGTAAGCATCTTGATTAGAAGCAAGGTGAGTTGTGTGAGTTATGCTTGTTGGATGTATAGAAAGTAACTTTGCTTTAAATAATGTGAATGTGTTTAGAGTACCAAAGTCGTCATTAATGTGGGCCCTCCCTGGTGGCGCAAGGGGTTAAAACTTAGCACTATGAAGCTATGAAAGCCACTGCAGCATGAGCTTGATCCCCGGCCAGGGATGTGACCCACATTGTGTGGCAGACCTCTCCTGACCTGTCCGCTGCGCCCCTCAGCAATGTACTTTGTCAATCTGCCTGTTCTGCTCCCCACCCTGTCTCTGGTGAATCCTCTTCACCGCCTTCGCACCTCTGGCTTGTACACCAGTTCTGCATGAATGAATAAATAAATCTTTAAAAAAAAAAATTAGTTATATATAATACTAACTCAACTTAGTATATAGTTTATAATCTATTTATAGATTGTCTAGTAAAAGTAAGTTTGTTTTTTTAGAGAGTAAAAGAAAAAATATTACTGTTAAAAGGTGGCTTGATTCCTTATTAAAAAATAGGCCCATTATTTTATATGAAACAGTTGTTTGAAACTTCTGTGTTATCTTACAGTTTTTGGAGTACTCACAGTGTTTGTGCATTAACCAAATATTCACTGACACCTACTGACCACAGCAGTGTTGGATATGTGGGACCCAGCAGCATTGTGGTGCTGGACTCTGGCTAGACCTACTAAATCAGGATCTACATTGTAACAGAAACTCCAGGGAACTAGTACTTTTTCTAAATAAACCTTCAAGAAATCATCTGCCCATAATATAAAATAGTTGTTAAGAGATTAAAGTTAATTCTTTTTTTTTAAAGAATTATTTATTTATGCATACAGAACCGAGGTACAGGCCAGAGGTGCAGGGGTGGTGAGTGGATTCACCAGAGACAGAGCAGAGTAGGAAGATCAACGAAGTACACTGCTGAGGGGAGCAGAGGGCAAGACAGGAATGGTCTGCCACACTATGTGGGTCGCCTCTGGGGCAGGATTGAACTCACACTGAAGCAGCTGCAGCTAGCTTGCAATGCTGAGTCCTAATCCACTGCACCACTAGGGACAGCCAGGATTAAAGTTAATTCTTACCATTAAATTTAAAATCATTTTTTACTCAAGTTGTATAGCTTAGCAGACGAGTTTATTTTATTTTTTTTAAGATTTATTTATTTATGAATTCAAGAACTGGGGTATAGGCCAGAAGTATGGAATGTGAGAAGATTCACTAGAGATAGAGTTGGGAACAGAACAGGCAGATTGACAGAAATACACTGCTGAGGGGAGCAATGGGCAAGACAGAAGTCTTTGCACCATGTGGGTCACCTCCCTGGCCAGGGATTGAACTCCCTGCAGTTGCTGAGGATAGCTTCACAGTGCTGTGCTCTCACCCCTTGTGACACCAGGGAGGGCCTGAATTTATTTTAAAAAAGGACACTAGGGACCCTCCTGGTGGTGCAGAGGTTAAAGCACAGCACTATGAAGCTGTCTGAAGTCACTGCAGCAAGAGTTAGATCCTCAGCCAGGGAGGAGACCCACTTGGTGTAGCAGACCTCACCTGTCCCACCTGCTGCTCCTGTCAGCAGTGTATTTCAATAGATCTGTCTGTTCTGTTATCAACTCCGTCTCTAGTGAACCCTCTCACCCCCCACACCTCTGGCCTATACTCCAGTTCTTGTATGCATAAGTAAATAAATCTTTTAAAAATAAGTAAAAAGGGAACTAGATATTTAATACTATACTGTACATTATCTTTGATAACTGAATAAGCACAAGTTATAACCTGCTTGATTTCTTAAACAGAGTTAAACCACCAAATTAAAAGGTTATTAAAAAAAAGCTACTTACGGGCCCTGTCCTGTCCTGCCCACTGTCCCCCTCAGCAGTATATTTGGGTCAATCTGTGTATTCTGCTCCCTACTCTGTCTCTGGTGAATCCTCTTATCACCCACATTTGTAGCCTGCACCCCAGTTCTTGTGCATAAATAAACCTTTAAAAAAAGAGAGAAAAGTCAACCTCTACAAAATGGGAGAAACATACATATAATGTTGTATTAACATGTATGTTAACATGTAATATCAGTAGTGGGTATGGTGTGGAGACATACATGTGAGATGGTGACCCTATGCCTCTGAATTACATACCATGTTGTAAACCTGTTAACCACAATAATATATATGAATATATGGATTAAAAAACAAACTAGTGGAGGGCCATTACTGGTGGTGCATTGGGTTGGAGCTCTGTACCTCAAAACTAAGCCAAGCTGTGGCCGCTTCAGTGCACGTTTGATCCCCACCGCAGAGGTGATCCACATGGAGCAGCAGACCTCTCCTGTCTCACCTGCTGCTCCCCTCAGCAGTGTATTTTGTAGATTTGCGTTTTTGGTGTATCCTCTTGCTGTCCCTGCACCTCTGGCCTGTACCCCATTTCTATATGCATAATAAATAAAATCTTTATTAAAAAAATAATGGAGTCATTTAACCCATATTTGAAGATACTTTCATGTAGCAATATATTAGTATATCATTAAGCTGAGAAATCTAAAGTTTTGATATCTTTTTTGAAAAGCAGCTTATGTTTAAAGTTTGTAAAACATTTGGAAACTTACATAAACATTCTGATCTACAATCTGTTATAACTATAATTTTTATATGTGTATATATAATATGAATATGTTGTATATACACATATATAAATCTCTCCAAATAAACAGTCTGCACCTTACCTCAGATGAAGCCTCCCAGGTAAAAGCCAGCTCCTTTGATTGAACCAGACCGCTGAGATTAGTTCATGCAGTTTATCATGGAACAATGAGAAAATGTGCTGAGTGAATCTCTCAATAATCGTGTTAGACACACTAAGAAAAGAATGCAATCTTATGCAGCTGATCACGCCTAGCTGCGATTCTGGAATCAGCCCTCATCATGTTCTCTACCTGCTCTAGACTAAAGCGAACAAAGATGGTGGGAACCAGGAGGTCGAGATTGCCCGCTGTCATAAGGGGCAATACTTTGGAGAGCTTGCACTGGTCACCAATAAGCCCAGAGCTGCTTCGGCTTATGCAGTGGGAGATGTCAAATGCTTAGGTAAGAAAAAGATTTTATGCATTAGTATTTGTTTTTCTGATATGTAGTATTTTTTCCCATTAGAAAGTCTTGATTTCTTCTACCAGCTTTTGCTGGTCACTTCTAGGCATGACACTTTGTGTAACCAGCCAGAAATAGGTGAATGTATTCTTTTAGCAAATATTTTTAAACACTGATTATAGCCTGGGAGCAAAACCGGCATGACCTCTTGGCCATGTAAAATAAAACTAATAATGAAGGCAGGTTTCCAGAACTGTGTGGGTATAGGGAGAACTGATGCTGCTGTATTCTACCGAGTCTCAAACTTGGGTGACACAGTCTTGCTGTGTTCATATGAAAACCTCCTTCCAATAAATTCATAATTTTCAGCAACATGAATGGAACTGGAAGGAATTATGCAAAAAAAAAAAGGAAAAAGAAAAATCTCATATGATCTCATTTATAGGGGAACATAGGAAAATCAAGCAAAAGATCAGGAAGAAGATAAACCATGACAGGCAGATCATAGATCTGAGGCATAAAGCAGGGAAAGGGAGGGGAAGAAGTCACAACAGGGGAGGGAGAGAAGAACACTAAGGACTTTGGTGATGGTCACAGGTGCCATGGTGGTAAGACATGTTAGGACTACACAAGAGAGGAAAAATCAAAACTGTACAAAAATGAACACGATGTAAGAAAATAATTAATTTAAAATAAAGAAAAATGTTTTGCTTGAGCTTAATTCCAATTATTGTAACTGCCAGCTGTATCTTGGCAGCATACACACCATCTCAGTCAGTATGTACTTCAAGAGTGAAAAGCTACCCCAGAAGGAAAAAGATCTTCCTATGACAGGGGTGATGGGGTCTCACCAGGGTCTTAGCTCCAGGAAAGTGCCCAGTACCCTAAAATCTAATCTCCTATAACATGAATATGTGGACATAATTATGAAAAGGTTTGCATAAGGCCCTCCCTTGTGACGTAAGGGGTCAAAGCACAGCACTGTGAAGCTATCCACAGCCACTGCAGCACAAGTTCCAACCCGGCCAGGGAGGTGACCCACATGGTCCAGCAGACCTCTCCTGACCTGTGCTCCCCTCCGCAGTATATTTCAGTGGCTCTATCTGTTCTGCCCCACTCTGTCTCTGGTGAATCCTCTCACTCTGCCCCCGCCCCCAACACCTCTGGCCTGTACCCCAGTTCCTGTATGCATAAATAAATAAATCTTTTTTTTTTTTAAAGGTTTAGGTTTGTATAATGGAAATGATGTCTCTTTTTAACATTGCAGTTATGGATGTACAAGCATTTGAGAGGCTTCTGGGGCCCTGCATGGACATCATGAAGCGGAACATTTCACATTATGAAGAACAGCTGGTGAAGATGTTTGGCTCCAGTATGGATCTGATTGATCCCGGGCAGTAGGTGTGCTGCACCCCAGCGCCTTCTCAGTGTGACACCAAAACCTTCCGGTCAGCCACACAACACACACAGAAAACAGACACGACAGAACTGTTCCTGCTGTTGCCATCACCACTGCCATTGCTATGGCTGTGGGCATTTATAAAACTTGAAAGTCAGCACTAAAGGATGGGTAGAGGTTCCACCCACACCTCCACTTTGCTCCTGAAAGCCCATTATTAGACCACTTGTAATGATTACTCAACCCAATTTTTACATCTTTGGTTCAAAATGGCATGTCTCTCCAACAATTTAAGTGCCTGATAAAAAGTCCAAAGTGTAAACATCTTACTTTCCTCTCTTGCTGCTAACTATTGCTTTTGGAAGTTACCACAGGTCTATACCATTGTATAACTGTAGACATCCTCTCCCAACCTTTCTCAAGGGAGGAAATGGTGTAACCTTTGATCCCCTCATTTGTCCTTTGAGAAAGTGTACATTTGTTCACAATTGTAGTCTTTGGCTTTACTGTGGGAAATGGTGGTAGATCTGATGGAGGTCTGTGGTCCTGTGGCGTTGTACCATGTGCTGGCAGCTGCACACGCCACAGTGGTTTCAAGCATCACAGTGACGTTTGGATGCAGCAGATCAGCATCCCAAGCACACTGATCAGTCACTGGGACCCATGTAAAAGCAGGAAATTGCGCTTCAGCACGTTCTTGAGCTAGAAGAGAACCAGAAGATTTTTTTGGGTTGGGAAGTTTTATCTTTTTTGTTTTTGTTTTATTTGATTACTGTGCAATTTGCATGAATGAATTGCTGTCCCTTTATATGGAGCCGGGGTCTAGAGGCTTATTACCTTATCGGACCCAACACTTTTCTGGACAACTTTTGCCATCTCTTGTTTCCACTTGTCCCTACCAGCTGTTGACAGCATACTGTACTACGAAGAGAACCCTTTCCTTGTACACCAGATTTGTGGCATAGCTTTGCTGTTGAACCATAAATTTTTTTTTAAGTCTTTAAAGAAAAAATGGCTGTGTTTTCAAATTAAAAGAATACTTTCTCCATTTAGGGAATGCCCCTTGGCCATATTCATATATGTGGAGTTTTTCAGCTGATCCAGGCATTCATCCTAAACTTCAACTCTTGTTAGTTTTCAAAAATTAGCATCAGTTACATTTTCATAGAATTTGTACTTTATAGTTAAGATGTTGGACTATTTGCTGTTTCATTTGTTCCTTTGGAACTAGAAAGTTCCAGAGGAAATCATTTAGCTTGTATTTTAAAACTTTTCAACCTTTTAATTACATCAAGTAGAATTTTGATGAATTGCCCTGATTGCTATATTTCAGAATGAGATTTTGTTTTCTTCTTCCGAATGACTTAGAATCAGGTGTCATAAAAGAGCTAAAGAACAGTGGAAATTTTGCATAAATATAAATTTGAATGTGATAGCCCAGTTTATATTAAATAAAGAGATCCTTCCCAATATCATCTTTTTAAAAACTCATATAACTTACTGAATCCCAAAAAGATTATAGGCTGGGGCTTGAGTCATTCCCACTGTAGGAAATGATAGTGCCCCCACATAATTATCTTCCATTGTTCACATAAGCCAGGTATTTTTGCCAATGACATTGTGGTCAAGAGAGTTCCAGAGTGGTGACCCACCACAGCCTTGGTCAGTTCTCCCTTTTTCTTATGTCTGTGAAGTAAAACAGAAGGATGCTTTTCAGAATGCCCTGTGTAGCCTGAATTGCACCTTTCAGAATTGTGAACGGTTGGAACTAATACTCCGAAACAGGCAGCTAGTACTGGGAAAGCCTCGGGTTTACCCATGATTTTCCAAGGTTCTTTTTTTTCTATGATGTTCCTTTATTATTAAATAAAGAAAGCACATTTTGCACATAAGCAGACAAGAAATATGTTTCTTGCAAAGGTAACAGGTACATTGGACTTATCTATAGAGCTATAGCCCCTGGCTGTGTGAGGACTCTGAACGCTGAGCATAGCCTCCTGCGCACTTCTCACCCCACCACCAGCACTAGTTAAGGCTGTGAGCTTTGCTCACACTCCTGCAGGCCGCAGGGAATGGGCCCACTTGTTCTGCCCTCCTGCATATCCCAGTTCAGTCTTCTTCATCTCAGAGGTCTCTTTTGACACCCCAAGTCATTGATGGTAGCAATTTTACGGAGTAGAATTCATCAAGTTTATGTCCTCCTGTTCTAACTACATATGGGTCATCAGTCCATAATAGTAATACATACTGTGTCCCTTAAAGCCTCGTTTGAGAAAAGGAGACTTTTCAGTGAAATAGGGCACAGCCATTACCAACAGGCCAGGAGTCTGACAGCATTCAAGTCTCTTTGCAGCATGGAGAATAAAGATGGAAGACGAAGTTTAGCTCAGGGCTGAGTTATTCACACTTTGCCAGGCATGCCCTGAATTTATGGTTGAGCTTCAAGAAGAATGTATGTTGGGGAGAGATCTTTTTTTAAAATTATTATAGATTGCTTCTTTGGTTTAGAGCTTCACACCCTCTTTTCTAGTTTGCTGTTGATTTAGGATAGTGGAGAATATTCCTGAGAGCCTTGAGGTCCAATCTGCAGTATTATCTTTCCTTTTGGCCCCCGGTTTATTATACTCACTCTCTTTATTGGTTGTGTTCTTTGAAGGAAGGGTTCATGTGGTCTGTTCTCTTAACTGATAATCTCATGTAATTGCTACAGATTCTCAGAAATCGGGTGGAGCTTTTTTTGAGCTGTTTAATGATCAAATTTGGCAGCCAAGTAGGAAGAAATGGTTCTCCGGCCAGGAGAAGATGTTCATCATTTTATTGCCCAGATTCTTTGCTTGTGATAAAGTAGTCGGTGAGAGGCGCCACTGGTGTACAGCAGCAGCCTGGGGGACACACCATTTCCCTGTCATGTCAGTTCGTACAAACAGTCCCCTCTAATTTAAAATCATTGAAAGAGCATTTTTGCTCAGAGGAAGGAAAAAGACCCGTGAATATCATCTTTTATCTTTTGTTTTCAGTTGGCTGATGTTGGAATTTTTGTTCTTGACATGCACTTATAAACCAGTCTTGCCAAGATACAAGTTGTTTTGGTTTTTTCACTAAAATTACCTCTTGTTCCTCCTGTCTTGACTGCTGACGTCCTTTAATGATTCTGATGTCTATTTTATGAGAAGCAGCCTTCCTGTGGGTTTCCTTTTACACAATGCAGGGCTATCTTTATACTTAAAAAAAGAAAAAAGAAAAAAAAAAAAGAACACTGTCATTAACCTCACGTGGGATTTGCAGAAAACCATTTAGCCCACCTTGAGCAAAATGTAGATTCTTCATTGTTTTCTTAAGATCATTGTAATAAAATAAATCTAATTCAGCATTATTGTGCTACCTCAAGGGTAAAAATCTTAAGGTTTTGTTTTTTTTTTTCTTTTTGGGGGGGGTTTTGGTCCTGAGTTCTATACATGGTGTTTGAAATGTCTTTCAGTTAAAATTATGTTTTTAAATCATTGGGGAGAATTTTATTTTAATCCATTTTACACTTGTATTTTAATCTCAGAAGTGATTGGAAAGTGATCAATTCTTGCTCTGTAGTATTGAATATGTAATTAAATTGTTGCTATAAATAAGGTTGGGGTTTTTTAAAGGAAACTCTAGGGCTCGGCTTTGCTCTTGGTTAATAAAGGCTGACAAATTATGTCTAACTTCCCAGTGCAACCTTGTAGTGTGTGTTTGTCCTCTCAGGATTCCCAACCATCATGGCATTCGTGTGGCAGATAAATTGTTGGAATTATGGTATGAACTCTTAAAATGTCATCACGGAAATGCCAGAACAATGGTTGACCAAATATTGGGCTCCTTGTGGCCCAGTAAATTTGATATAAGAGTAGCCATCACAGTGTGGTATTTGAATTGTTGGGGATTACCATTGAGGCCCAGCAGAAAACATCTTGATTCTGGCTTAATTACATTATTTCCTTTTCTGTAACCCGTCTGTAGTCAAAACTATGACTGGATAGCCTGATGTACATACAGTTTCTTTCCAAGTAACCAGCAAAACTCACTGTACATCAAAACCGTCTTCTAGCTTGATCTTGCTTTCATCTAGGTAGGGGCGCTTGGCAATATGAGAACCAAGTACTCAGTGAGCATTAAAAAAATCTACACAGGACTCAAAAAGGGAGCAAAAAAATCCTCTCAAAACCAAGCTGACAATGATTTATTTATTTTTCTCTTTTTTTAAAAAGACTTTATTTATGCATACAAGAACTGAGGTATAGGCTAGAGGCAGGGAGGTGGGGAAGGGATGAAAGGATTCAGCAGAGACAGTGAGGAACAGAACAGGCAGAATGACTGAAGTACATTGCTGAGGGGAACAGCGGGCGAGACAGAGGTCTCTTGGGCCATGTGGGTCACCTCCCTGGCCAGAAATTGAACTCGGGCTTTAGTGGTTGTGGAAAGCATCGTAGTGCTGTGCTTTAACCCCTTGAGCCACCAGGGAGGCACCTGACAGTGTTTTAAGGCTTTAAAAGTTAAATCTGGGGCCCTCCCTGGTGGCTCAGCGGGTTAAAGCACTGCACTAAGAAACTAAAACCACTTCCGCAAGAGTTCGATCCCCGCCTGCCCCGGAGGCGACCACATGGCGTGGCAGACCTCTCCTGACCCGCCTGACCGCTGCTTCCCTCAGCAGTGTACTTCATCGATCTGTCTGTTCTGCTCCCCACTCTGTCTCTGGTGAAGCCTCTCACCCTCCGCATCTCTGGCCTGTACTCCAGTTCTGTACGAATAAATAAATAAATCTTTAAAAAAAAAAAAGTTAAATCTGGTTTGATCTTTTGGGTTTGGTGATTTTGCCACGTAAAGTTAAGAGGTGGCAGGCAGGACACATACAGCCTCTTTGGTATACCAACTGCATTCCATACGTGTCCAAGGACAAGTCTATTAAGAAGTTTATCACTCAGAACTGGAGGCCACAATCATTAGGGATGTAACCAAAGCAAGCATCTTCATCCCTATGTGCTTCCAGTACTGTATATGAAATTACATTGTTGATGAGTTGTGCCATTCATAGCAAGGTAGCTGGGAATTCTGAAGTCTGGAAGAATGGAATACCCTCACCATGTGGCTGCCCAATGACTTCTGTCAAAGGAGCTTAGTCCTTAAGGACTGAAGGAAAAAACAGTTCTCTGGGAGAAAATAAAATGTAAATTATATACATGTGCTACCACTTTAGGTTTTTTTTCCCCATTTCAAGATGATATTTTCTAGACTCAATCATATGAGAACTGCTTATGTGGTAGTCATTTCTATGGTTTTTAAAAAGACTTACTTATTTATGCATACAAGAACTGGGGTATAGTCCAGAGGTATGTGGTGAGAGGATTTACCAGAGACAGCATGGAGAGCAGAACAGGCAGATCTACTGAAATAACTGCTGAGGGGAGCAGTGGCTGAGACAGGGGAGGTCTGCTGTGCCATGTGGGTCAGCTCCCTGGCCAGGGATTAAACTCTTGTCACAGTGGCTGGTGATAGCTTGATACTGCTAAGACTTAACCTCTGCACCACTGCCCAGCTTTTCAACTTTTTAACAACAGAAAACAGTTTGGCTTGTAATGTGGTTAAGGAAACTGGAATTGTTTCACAAGGTGTTAAGTCTAATTTTGCTTGCTTACAAAACCATCCTCTACAGACAGATGCCCTATCACAGAATGGCCAGTCATAGGATAGAATTGCACTAAACCAAGGGTCAGAAGTCACTGTGTACAATGCTGGAAGCCAGGATCCAGCAATATCCTTTCTAGCTAGGTCGTCCAACCCCTGGAATGAAGAAACTGGGATGTGCTGTTAGTTTTTTTTCTAGTAAAAAAAAAAGCTGAAGTCCAGATCCACCAGGTAAGTAAATGAGCACTTTCCAACATGCTATCCAAGCGGAGTAGACATTTTCATTCTGAAAATGAAAGATCTGGGATGAAGGAATACCTCCAATACACACTTCCATGCCTCCTGTGAGCCCAGCCTGAGCTGAGGAGACAGAGACCTGAAACAGCCTTGACCCCCAAAATGGACAGATTCTCGGACAGATGTTTGTCAGTGCTGGTGTTGTCAGCACTGCGGATCAGCCACTTGGACCCCTGGCATCCTGACCTAGAGTTGTGCAGCTGGCCCCATACTTGAGGGGGAAGCTGCTGTATGCAGGCTCACATCTCCTGGGAGCTGACTCAGCTGCTTTCCCTTCGTAGCCCTGGAAGCCAAAGAACTTCCCTACCAGGATGGAGCTGGGAAATGAAGAACACATACTTGGGTACCGACCCTACAGTAAAATTTAGTATGGTTCCACTGGCTGACTAGCAGTGGATGAGTTGGAACTCTTGTCCAGGGCTTCACATGGCTCCTCTGTAAAGAAGGAAGCAGGCTTACAGCAGGGAATCCACCACCCTGCTTGGCTTTGCCCACAGCCACTAACCCAGCAGGATCCAGCATAGGCCCCACACCTGTGTGGGCGGGGTCAAGGCCCAACAAAAGGGCATGGGCCCAGTACAGGTGTGGTGTCACTTGAAGCCATCATCTTGGGCACACAGCAGAAGCAGCATCTACTCTTTGATAGCTGGCTCACAATAAATGAATAAAGCTAGTTTTATAGTTTTATAACCTGGGAAGGCTGGCCTTGTGCCCCAGAACCGTTTGAATGACGGTTTACAACATGCAGGCAAGGTGCTTTGAGTGTGAGAGTGGCACCTGCTGAGAGTGGGCTAACTTCCAGCACAATGGAAATTTCTGAGTGCCCCGCTGAGCTGTTTGCGCTCTGGATGCACCAGGGACCGAGTATGCATATCCAGGCATGCTGGGAGCTGACTCTACCTAGACCCTGCAGGATCATTTCTTGGGAACTTTCCTGCCTTTTGTTCTGCAGTGGAGAAAAATTCTTCAGAATGATTTGTAACCAGCTCCTCCCAGCACCAGGGCTCTGGGGACCAGGACTCTGGGTGTGGTTTTTAGGGAACCTGAGTCCTGTCTCTGCCTGGGTAAGAACATCTTGTTCCCTGTTCTGAGTTGCATGTCCAACCCTGGGCTAGACGTGGGTGGTGGACTGCTTGCGTAAAGAACACGCAGGAAGGGGGTTCTCTTGGATGTCTGATCCCAGCACATCTGGACCCACTACAGTCTCAGCCCCACCTCCCCTGTCCCAGGCCCTAGGAAAGGAATACTTCCTCAGTGCTAGACCAGGGCTGCGTGGAGAGTGTAGCAGGGGAGCAGTAGCTCCCACACACGTTCCCTGGACTTCCCAGCACCGTCTCCTACAAAAGGGCAGCCTCTGCCCTGGGACCTGAGTAGTTACAACCCTGAGGCACGTCTCTGCCCAGCCCACCCCGTGCCATCCTGCATCTCGGGTCTCATAAGCTTGCTGCCTGGCCCTCAGCCTCATCCTTTAGCTTCTTACATCCCTGCTCCTTTCAATAATAGCCTCACCTTGTTTTTAGGGAGAAAATAGAAGCTCAGGGCTCTTCCTCTAGCGCCTACCCTGTTGTTCTCCTTCATGACAAAGTCCTTAAGATTTGCCCACTGTGCCTGTTCACCTCCTGCTCTAGCCACAGCCCACCCCAGTAGCCCCCAGCTGTAGGTCTGCTAATCCTAAATGGCCTATCTAGCCTCCATTTTGTTAGCTACAGTTCTGTATTCCTAAATCATGGTCAAAACTGCTTGGTTATGGGAGCCCAACCTTATGAGGTACCTTTCACATCAATTAAGAGCATAAAGCTAGATCACCTCATGTGCATCACGAGGTATGACCAGGAACGCGCGGGGCAGATGACAGTTGCATAAACTTACTCCTGACTTATACTTCATGAGGTATGACTGGGAACGCCCAGGGAGCTGTTGACTGATGTTTTAACGAAGGACCCCAGAAGCTGACCAATGGACTGCCTTGTTGGTAAGATTGAAATCCTGACCAGGGAGTCAGGGTTTGATCTATGGTACCAAGCTATCAGCAGATGAGAAGTGCAGTTCCACCCTTCCCCTCTTCTTCCCCATCTCCTTTTCTGCTTCCCCATATGACTAATGCTGTATGACTGGTTACCAATAAAGAGGCCAGGATCTTGCTCTTGAGCAGCATCCTGCATTATGTAGTTGCTCCACCACTCCCGTTTCTTTATCATTGTGGTGTTGCCCGACACGACACCCAGTGACTTCCACAGGCAGAGCCCATGCACTTGTGACCGTCTGCAGTCTCAGTCGAATTCATGGTGGAGTCCTCCCTCTTGCTTCAAGGACCACCTTCTCACAAATCTCAGTTCTCCTGGTTTTCTTCCCACCTCAGTTGCCAATTAACCCAGACTATAGTTAAATTTTGGAATGGTCCAGGGCTCCATGTGGATTCTCCTTTCTTTCCTTATTGTGAGATTTTTGTCAGGAACAGCATGGCTTCGGAACTTATCTCCATGCTACTCACTCCATATTCACACCTCTTCTGGGAGACACTCTGCTAACCTGTTTCCAGTGATAGGAGATGGTATCCTCTCCCACCCCTTCACTCTGCCAACTGGGAACCTTCTGGAAAGCATGCTTTGCATTTTTTATTTTACCTTGTTTTAAGTGTGAAATACCAAATACAGAAAGGGGCCTAAAGCAAAGACATTCTGTTCAATGATTTCTCACAGGTCAAACATTCGCAAAATGCAGTCCAGATGAAGAACACTGTCAGTGCCC